AAGTATCTGCAATTTCATTATCATTGCAGAACACTTAACAAGGTCACAACGAAGGGAGGTAAAGGTAGATCAGTCTAGTAATGAAAGGATCTAGCCATGAATGAGGACTTTTGCTTAAAAGAGGAAAGATCAGTGTACCTTAGGGATGCTTTTAAAACTTCTGTATTCATTCCTGTGTGATATACCACCATTCCAAATCCCATTCTCACATTGTAGTTTGTAGGAATTGCAAGCACAGAAAATTCTCAAAATCTTGTGTATGCAGGCCCAGACACAGAAATGAATACAGGGTTTGACCTGAGACCTTAGACACAGCTTCCAGATTTAGAGACCATGAGCAAGAATGTGGGTTTGTAGTTTAGGCAGAAAGACATTAGCCTAGGTAGTGGAAAGTTTTAAGGTTGTAAAGTTAAGATATAGAAGTAGTTATAAAGGTAATAAGAAGTTTTAAGGTGTAGTAAGTAGTTTTGTGTGCCATTATATGATTGGTTGAGAGAGTCCGCACTGCGGCAAAGACGTATAAGACAAAAAAAACTATTGGTGTGAAAGTAGAAACATCCTTTTGTGGAAGTAGTTTATTAGCTAATTAACCTTTAAGGGACATTGTAACCTGTGGTCTTGTGACCACTGACCACGAACCTCTGGTGAATATGGTGAAGATGTTCTCACTTCTTCATGAGACGGTAGGAGAAGAGTTATAAGTCGTGCTTTAAGACGTCTCCCTGTGGTCTCCTCTCCCTTAATCCCAATAGTAGCTCAACCTCCTAAAATCCAATGTTAGGCAGCAACATCCTCTCTAAAGGTCAATGACCTAAATTAATAATAACCAGAAGCAATAATGTTGATTTATCATCTCTGGAGCTATATTTTTCACATGTGTCTAGTAAAACTTTGAGGAATCTCCTCAATCTAGACACTTTTACTCTCAATGCCATTACCCAAGTGCAGGTTTCAGCTGCTCTCAGGGCTCTCATAGATGTTTTATCTTTGACTGCACTGAGAAAATTAAATAAAAAACAGGTTTCTGAGGCATGAAAAAGGATAAAGAGAGCCAAGAAGAAGATATGAAACAAAAAGCTCTGCCCCAAATCCTGCTTCATTTCATAAATCCTTGATTATATGTGGAGAGGGTGACATAACCTCAAAAAAATTTCCTCAGACTTTCATGTTAGTCATAAATGACATGATTTATTTCAGATAAAAGCAAGTATTGCTTCTCACTTTCCTTTTAGTCTGAATACTTTTTTATTTACTGCATATGCTTTTTTAAAAATAATTCTGCTTTACCTGCATGCATTTTTTCATTCTTTAATTGCATTATATACATTTATACATAAACACAAAAAGAAGGGGAAAGAGCTGCTCTGCACACAGCCCTGCCTCTTTATCCTGGGCTTCCTGTATGGTTAAATTGAAAATGTTAAAAAGTGCATAATGAAAATAAGTATACATTAGGCATTACCTTCAAATAACTGCTATATATGCATGAGTGTATGTATATGTAAGTATATTTGTGTGTATAAACACACACACATATACACATATATATGTGTATGTGTGTGTAAATGACATTTTACCTGTCTATATACAAAGAATAATGTATCCTAACTACAGTCTCTTTAGTGGAAAACCTGCCCAAGTTATAACAAGCAAACCACTGACATAAAACCTGGAAATATTATCTTCTGTGACAGCTGGGAGATGTTTGCAGTGACACACAGGTGATTCCCTCAGGAGAACTGCACCACCAAAACCAGCACAGACATTTCCAGTTTGGCTGCTTAACCCAGGGAACAACTAACCAAAGGGTATGAAAAAAATCATTATGACTAAGGTTGTTTTGCTGGAATTTCATAGGATGCCTCATCCCTGGAAGTGTCCATCTTGGATGGGTCTTGGAGCAACTTGGTTTAGTAGAAGATATTCCCTATTGATGGCAGGGGGACTGGAACAAGATAAACTTGAAGTGCCTTCCATTCCAAACCATTCTGTGATTCTATTAAGTACATGATTATAAATGTCTCCCAAAATAAATTCCCCCTAGTTCTTTTACTGCTTGTCTTCAAGGGTATAGAGCATGGCCTAATTACAGCAGTGATTACCAGCTGTTTTAATGACAGTTTTAAAGACTTAGTGGGTGGAAATTAAAAGGTTGATTTTGTAACTATTGACTGTAGGTTGGTTTTCTGAAGATTCCTCTATGAAGTTGTCTCTGGCTGGCAGTAAAGGCTGTGAGCTCCTCACTCTGACCCCACCTGGCCTGGACCTTAAAACCAAACCACTGCCCCTGGCCCAGTGCTGCCACTGCTGCAGAGGATGTCATTACCCCAGCACATGTTCCACATCTCTTTGCTATTCCACATCTTTTTTGAGTGCTTTCAGGTAGCAGCAAGTTGTGCTGATTTTCCTCTTATCAGCAGTCGCCAGGACTTGGGATGGTAACTTTGAATTAGCACAATGAGTAATTCCACCAGTCCTTTGGAAGAGTTTTCAGCAATAGCTGCTGTATGAAATTATTCATTTTCCATTGCTGTCAGCAGTTCTTTTATTTACCATGATTTTTCTGTCCTTTATTCCCAGCCTTGATATTGACCTTTAACTCACCATTTCCATTCTATCCTTTCCACAGTCCCCAGAAATCCCTATTACTCTGCAGTGTGGGTGCTGTGTGACAGCAGGTACCTCTGCTCTCGCTCCCCAGCTCCTGGGCTTTAGATCAAGTCTGATTTTTGCATGTCTGCAAACATCAGAAGTACTGATCCATGGGAGCAACCAATCATCCCTACAGGACTGCTGGAAAATGCCCCCAGGGTGTAAAGGAGAGATTGGAAATATGGACATGCACAAAATCATAGAATCATGGAATCTACTGAGTTGGAAGGGATCCACAAGGATGGTTGAGTCAACCTCCTGACCCAGCACAGAACCCCAAGAAACCCACCCTGTGCCTGAAGGTATTGCCCAAATGCTCCTTGAACTCTGTCAGGCTTGGTGCTGTGACCACTGCCCTGGGGAGCCTGTTCTAGTTCCCAGCTCCCCTCTGGGAGAAGAACATTTTCCTCATATCCAACCTGAATCTTCCCTGACACAGCTTCATGTCATTGCCTTAGGAACACAAATGTCATATAGACAAAATTAAAATCTTTACAATGGCAAATGCAAGCTGGGGGACTCAGCTTGGTCCATCCTGCCCCTCAGGGCATCCTGTCTCAGCTGGTGCAAAGGGCCCTGGTCAGAGAGACAATTCCAGCAGCACTGATTGCTGCAAGCAAACATGTCCACACCATCATTCGAATTAGTTTATCAAACACGTTCACATTCAGCTCCCACCTCACCTGTGCTCCATGATTGTGCCATGCTTTATGGTTACCCAGTGTCACACCAGGAGGTTCAGGGATGACAAGCACTGTCACTCACCCCTGCCTGCTCACCTCACAGGTGGAAACATGGAAACAGAGGGCAGAGACCATAACAGCATTGGCTCCTCTTTCACAGTGACACATTTTGATGGGAATGGCTGATTCTTAATTGTTTCCTCATTATATATGATACAGCACCACTTGTGTGTGAGCTGTTTCAACTCATGTGATTTTGCTGTGGAGAATGCAAAAGAAGGTGCTTCATTAATGTGCTTGCCTTGAACAGCAATCAAAACAATGAACACACCCCACATGACCAGGAAAAAACAAATTGAATCATTCCAGCATCTTTTATTTATCCACTTTCCATCCATGTGCACAGAAAACACATTCCATATTAAATCCCAGCTACATAGTGGACATAAATTTTTACAAAGGTATTAAATTGTTTCTATTTATAAAACAATTTTTGATGAGATTATAGATTCATGGATTGACTGCAAATTCACCATTCTGTGGCTTGATTAAAATGCATTATGAAAGGAAGATGGAAGGAAGGCAGTCTGCATTTTCCAGGCAGAAAAAAAGCATCCAGCTTGCCCTGCTGAATGTCCTTTGAGCAGAGTCGTCGCTTTAGCAGACAACTGCATCTTTGCTGCATGCTCAGATAAGCCCAGCTCCAGAACAGGACATTTTCCATTCCACATTTCCATTTAAAATTCCTGTTTCATATGTTCTTCTGAGACCAGTTACTTGCAATCTGGATCTTAATGCAAATATTTAAAGCTTGAGATAGAATCAGAAACAGATAGCTCAAGAATTGATAAAGTATTAGAAAGCCTTTTCAAGTTACATTTCACATTTGATTCAGCATAGTTAAGTATTGGTGCACAGGCCCTTGTGTTCTCATTAATGAAAATAAGGACAACAAGAGCAAACAACTGAAATAAATGTCACACAAAAATGCAGTTTTTAGTGAATGAGAACATTCCCCAGTGCTCAGCTGCAGAGGACTATGAGCACCAAGGAGGGCTGAGCTGAAGGTGAGGGCTGCAGTGACCCCCCAGCTTGCCCAGGTACCAGTGGGACATGGGGAAGTGGGACTGGGCAGGAAAGCACAGGAGTAGCACCACCACCAAATAAATTCAAATTTTTTTGTGTGTATATATACTTTATATGGGTATTTATATAAACTATCTGTATATACAGACCAGATCAAATCCAGGATTTCTCTTTGTTATACAGTATCAGAGTGTCCAGACCTCAGTGACCCACAGGAGGACGCACACCCAGTATTGCCCTATACTCTCTCCATCTGATCTTCTGATATTTAACTTAAAACCAAAGCACATGGATGAACCCTTTCCCAAGTGTTTATATCCATCAGTTGTAATGGTGGGCATACCTTGTTGCTATATGGTTAGCTAATCTTCCTGGAATCTGTAAATATAATATTTCAGATTTATAAGAATTTTTAGAGGATATTTTTGTGCTATATTTTCTATTTTACCCTCCCTTGCAGAGAGTTAATGGCAAAATGCCCTTAATGTCCCTTTATAGGGATAAACAGAGATATGTACCATAGCAAATCTACCTCTAATAAAATTAAATGTTTGAATTTAATTAAATGAGATTCTGTTGATATCTTTTCCTGGAAAATCAACCTCTTTATTCTTAAATTGACTTATCCTTTAGTCTCTGAACACCTAATTGTTAATTCTCCGGTGTCTGCTAATAGGTTTGAAACCAAAGGAACATGAATGGTAATTGAAATGGTTTAAATTCCTTCACATCGATTTTTTTTTTTAAGTTGTTACTGGCTTCTTGATCCTAGCTGTGCCAATGCACTCTGTGTGTGTGTAAATACAGCATTTCTCTATTTCTTGCCATAGAATACAATCAGCTGCATTTTCTAAATTGTTCTAAATTGGTCATTCTAATTGTTCTAAATTGGTCATCTTGATGATAATTTCCAGAAAGCCTTTAAAAATACCACTCCTGTACTTTCTGAACATTATCCTCCACGTACACACAGATACACTGTGGATCTTTCCAGCCATGGCTCCAGCCATGAGCCCCATATTAACTGAAGGTTCAAGCAATCCCTGTTTTAAATCCCCTTTTCTCAACACTGACCGTAGCAGTCGCTAGGTCAGTGTGCAGTCTGACACTCACACTACACATCACTGTAACAAAACAGGATGGGACAAGCCAGGCCCCTCAATCCAGGGCTCATGAGGCTGATGGATGCGTGCTCTAGGGTGACTACATGATGCTTTGTATCCCCAACAGTGTGTTCTGTTTATGCTGGATATTAAGTTCTGCACCTTTAATACTGGTTCTGAGCGTGAAGCAGGGGGGAGAAAGCATGCAGCTTGTTTGCAGAAACAGCACTTGCTCCCCCAAATTCCTTCTCATGGACTGCTGTTGGCTGCTTCTGGGAGTCTGTCCAACCCCTGGCTGCTGCAGACTGCCCAGATGGGGTCCCACAAGGGAGGAGCCATCCAGGGGTCACAGGCATTTCCAGCCAGGGGTAACCCATGTGAGCTCAGCCTGAGGCTTCAAGGGATCAGCTCTTTTAGATGTGATTTCAGCTCTTGTAGTGATCAGCTCACCTCTGCTCACAGGGAAGGGGCCTCTTAAATCTGGTTTCTAGAGGGACCCCTTTGGAAGTTTCCTCACAAATTTGTTCTAAACCAGGACAGTGGATCATTGCTGTTTAGTAATTTCTGGGTAAAACTTTGTTATAAATATCCCACAGCAAAGGAGAGAGAACAGCTTTCAGACAGGAATCTCCACATCTCTTCAGCCACATTTAGCCACCTGTGAGGTGAGAAAATAGACATATTTTAAAATGATTCCTGACCATAGGCTTCAGAAAATATCTTTTTCTCAGGAAATCATAGAATCCGTGAATGGTTTGGGTTGGAAGGGTCCTTAAAGCTCATTAAGTTCCAAACCCCCTGCCGTGGGCAGGGACATCTTTCACTAGACCAGATTGCTCCAAGCCCTGCCCAACCTGGCATTGGACACTTCCAGGGATGGGGCAGCCACAGCTTCTCTGGGAAACCTGTGCCAAGGCCTGACCACCATCACAGAGAAGAATTTCTTCTCCATGTTTAGCTTAAATCTCTCCTCTGTCAGGTTGAAGCCATTCCCCCTAGTGCTGTCACTACATGTCCTTGTAAAAAAAAAAAAATGCAGTCATGGTCCTGGTGCAGTCTCATTTCTCCCCTCCTGGTGCCAGCATACAGCCCTGAGCTGGCCTAGTGTGTTCATATATCCAGATAATTTTGACACCAAACCCAAGGTGAGTTCAGTCCCACGCTGGATCCACACATAATATAAGGTGCATCACACTTTGAAGGATAAAATCTTGATCCCCATTGGTTTTAACTAAAAATACTGTAAGTGAGTCTTCTGAATCATATTGAATTAGTTCTTGCAGGTCTGCTGCCAAAGCCTTTCTGTAATCAAACAAGGTTTAAAGCAACCAAATTAGTGCCTCCATCACTGGAAGGATTTACTGACAACAGGAACATTTTTATGCACTCAATTTTGTCTCACTCAAGGCATGCTGGATAATTTTTACCAGATGATCAGCAGGCAGTAATGTTTTGATGCTCTGATGCTACTGGAATAAAGACATCACAAAAAGTAAGCGGTGAGATTTTTATCTTGAGAAAATCTAATACTGTATGCCACTTCAAATTTTAGTTAAGCAGCCTTGCATCATAAAGAACAATCGGTATTTTGCTCTGCATAGGAGAAGCAATCTTCCAGGTACAACATTCCCCAGCTGCACTTCTGTCTTACCTTTTTAAATACAGCATTATAAGACAAATATTATTAGCACAAAGAGCTTTAAAATCTTCCAAGTTTAGACTCTTGAGGAATACAGCAGCCCCTAAGGACTCTAAGCATCACCAGGACAAAAACCTGAACAGACCTTCCTTGCTGTGTCAACAAGTATTTTAAATCCTTGTTGAAAAGCTGCACTTTTTCATGATTACATTAGGAGGGAAAGTATCTGAGGAAGTAAATACTCTCTGATTTCCCCTGGTACAAGGGCATGGTGTCTGTGAGTTGCTGAGACATTTCAAAATCACTTTGCAATTCAGGCAGGAGCTGATGAACAGCCTATGACAGGCAATGAGGAAAAAAAATCACCAATTCAAGAGCTGAAAAACCTTCCAGAGGGAAAATGGACTTTTCCTGTTGTCTTACAAATGATCCCTCACAATGAGAGAGTTAAAGAAGATGGCCCAGGACACAAATGCAGCTTGTAGCAGTGCCCTTCTGTTGCGGACAGATTTGCTATATCAAACAAAAAATATTAAAGTAACGATTCCCTGGACTCAAAGGAGGAACATTTCATCTCATTTTACTTGGAAAGAGAAATCTTCCCTTATTTCATATCTCAATTATAGAGAGTGGTCAGAGACACAATAGTGAGAAGGACAGAGGGAGAGGAAGGGAAATTAAATGTCACAGTGTTCATGGGATGAATCCATGTCTTAGTACTAAAGAGTTTTTCCAGATGGGCATTTTGTCACAGACCTTCCTTCCTGCTCATAATGAGAGAAAATAAAGTTGTGGCTGACCAGTTAATACTGCTGGGGCAGGGATAGCAGTACAGAAATAAAAATTGGTGCATAAAAAAAATCAAATAAATATAATAAAATAAAAGCCACCAAAGAAAAAAAACCCCAAAATCACTAACCTGATGGCCAACTAAAACCTAATACCTACTGGTAGTGCTGTCAAAAATAGCTATTAGAGTTAAAAAGGAATGGAGATTTATGTTGTTAATCAGTTTGCTAACTGCCCTTCACTCCTTTACAGTGTGGCAGCAATAATGCTCCTTGTAAAAATCATGGAAGCAAATAGCCTTATCTGAATCATCATTTTTTGTGTGTTAGTTGCCCTTAATATAGTAAAATTTAATTAAAATAGCTTAAATACAAACGTGTAACACAGCAGGGTAAGAATCAAAATTGCTTTAAAATGATTACACAAACCTGGTGCTGAGCTTATATAAGCAAAACTATTGCCAAATTTTGTACTTTTCCTTCTCAGCCCCACCCCCTGTGAGGACTTGTGGCTCCCTGTCCACTCACAGTCCCATAGCTGGGCCAGGGTGATGGATCCAGGTCCCTGGGGTGCCTGGGGTGCCCAGAGTGCCAGAGACAGCTACAGACCTGCCCAGAAAACTTGGAAGCATTTCTTGAAAGACATTTCTGAAGCCAAACATATGCAACAAATTTTGCTTCCAAGGGTTATGGCCAATCAAGGAATGAGGGGTTACCAGGAGCCCAGCACATTCCTTCTGCATTAGCTACCTTGGCATGAAACAGCCACAGAGAAACAGAGAAAATCTATACAGATCTGAGAAATTATTTAAAGCTAACCAATGCTTTTAAAAGCTACTTTTTTTTTGGTAGATAATTCACACACAGTAAGATGAGATTTGTCAAGCAAATTGTGCACTCAACAGAAGCTGCTGAAGAGCTCCCATAGGTTACCAAGCCGTTTTTAGGCTCAGGGTGCCTTATGAATATTTCTGTAAGCTGCCAGCATTGCAAGCAGCTGTACTAGAGCATCATCCCATGCTGCATCACATTGCAGCAGAGTCGTGTCCAGGGAGGGTGCAGCTACCAGTGACCAGCATGGGAAATCAACAAGACAGGTTTCCATTTGGTTAAACTCAGGAATCCCTTTATTGGGGTGTCACCAACACAGGATTTAACCAAACGTACACCACAGACAAAGAGCCCAGAACAAAGGCAGGGTGGTGGGTTTTATGGGGTAGAGCAAGGGTGGAGTTTAGGGTGTGGGTCCAACAGAGACACACCAAAGGAGAAGTCTTTTTAAGTGCTGCTGTACATTTGTTATGGTGAAGGCATTTCTTTTTCAGCTTCCCAAGTATAGCTCTTCTGGAGAAAAGCCTCTCCTATTTTCCTAGGGATATTTTGTACAGGATACCAGAGGAAATGCGTTTTCACTGTTTCCTGAGGAACTGAAGGTATTTTACTTCAATAGTTAATCCTTTCCCATCCTAAAGCACTTTGTCCCTGTACAGACTCTCACTCTAATATGCAGGATTTAGAGAGCAGAATCTGTCTGTCACCATGGTGGGAAAATTTCAAGCCACGAGTCACCCTGTGCTCAACAACACTTAGAGATTTAAACCTGAAACACAGCCAAGTATTCAGACTAATAATTTATTTGCTTAAAAATGTTCAAGAGAAGATGTTGGATTTATTCTTGACATTCCCCCTGTAGATAATAGCTCATGTAAACATGGCATGCATAGTCAATACTCAAGCCTTAATATTTCAACTGTCAGTTAGTCACGTAAATCATGCAATATTACTGCTTTTCCTTCATGACATATGTAACTAAGCAACTAATTATCAATTCAAATTTTATTAATTCAAATATTAAATGTATTACATTCTTCCCTTGTCACAGGGATAAGTGATACAGAAATCTCAGTTCAGCAGGAAGTGGTGGATCATGCTGTCCTGAAGGCAGAGAATCAGAGAAAATTGTCAGCTCAAAACCCATATGATGCTGCCTGTTCTGGATTAGAATTTACATAATGAGCATTATTGTCCTGGCAAAATTCAGTTTCACAGTTATTAAAAAAAAAAATTATTCAAAATACCAAGAATAGGGTCCAGCTTGAATTTTGATGAAGATGCAGAAAGACCTACTTGACCATGGCCAGCACCCATTGCTATAAATTAACAGAACATCTAAAGAATTTATAATAATTGCTGTAGTTAGTTGTGATCAAAATGGGATGTGTTACCACAAAGAGCTGGAAAAGCAGGGAAAAGCAATGAGGTCTCTTCAGAAGGGCTAGAAGAGGTATTTGTCATTTAAAACAAAAATTGAAGACTTCTAAGAGAAAAAATGGCAGAAAAACTTTAGAGTAAGAGGTATTAAGGTACTAAAGGGAGTAACCTTTAAAGCCTGCCTACAAAACAGATCCCTGAAGTCCTGAATCATAATAGTAGAGGGAAGGAAGCATTGAAATACGTGAACATTATCCCAGAAATTTCCCAGAGATGAGGGGGAGAGCAAAAGTTTCTTGTTAGACTATTCATTTCTGAACTTCTAAGTAGCATGGAGTGCAAGAGGAAAGGAGAAAAGAAGGGTAATAGGAGAGGAAATAAATCTCTTCCTTTAAATACGTTTAGTGGTATAGTGCTAGGGATAGGATTACACTCAATTTTATCTGAATAGACAACACAGGCCAGGATATTATCTGTAGTTTTCATAAAATCTCTTCTGAAATATGGCTTTAACATTTCTTTCTGCAACAGCAGTTTGCTCCCTAACTGTGCCATTTCCGTCAACACTCCACTGCTCAGGTTAACCCTCAGGAAAATGGGCCTCATGTGACAGCACAGAAAAAAAATTGTTTAATTCCAGGGAGAAATTGAACAAGTGAAAAGGGTGGCAAGAGTCCTGAGCTGGTTAATTTGAGGAAAATTATATTAACCACTTGTGTAAAACTGCAGGGATCTATCAGTAACACACATAAGCTGCAGCTGTTGTCGACCAGACAGAGGAGATAGAGGGAATTGCAGGAAGACCTACCTAAAAAATTTGCTTTCACCTACTTTCTGCAGTCCTTGTGAAGCTGAGAAACAAGTCACTGATTTGCAATAGCAGGTTGTAAGTGTAATCTTGCAAATCAGCACACCTCAGGTTGTCTAGTCCATACAGGTTACAGCTCTGGGCTGCTCCAGCTTGCTGTTCTGGTCTAATATCCACGAGACCCACCATCACAGGGATGCAGAGCCAGTGAAATTTTTGAGCAGTTTGATTTGAATTTGCCACACATTCACTTCAGTGAATGCCCCTTGGCAGGGTTACACCTCCTGAATTTCTCATTTTGCTTCATGTTCACATCTCCTTCTGAAGTTGCTGCCCAGATTCTGGATTTAGACTGCTTTATGCAATATAGTAACATATTGCCAAACATGGGACAGAGAAATAGATGAAGATTAGGTCTTTTTCTGGTAAACTTCCTACTGGTGCTTCATTTACGATATTATAACAGTTAATCACTTGATTGCTCCTACCTCCACTTACTTTCCCAGGGACACGATGGGTGAGTGGCTGTGTCAGGTCTGCTTGCAATAATCCCTCACTTCATGAAGGGCTGCAGTGCCATTAACTGGGTTAATTGGGTTCAGAATTGTTGCCAATCCAGACATCTGTGCTCAGCTGCCGACTTAAGAAGGAAAAAGAAGCTGAACACAAGTCCCTTGAAGTCTGGATGATGAGAAACTTGCCCCCAGATAACTTTTACATCCCAAAGGATTCCTGGAGAGACAGAGGGTGTACAGGGTAGAGGCCTCCTTGCTGGGAAGATGTTCCTAGTTTCAGAAGTTGTCTCCAGAAACACAGTTTCCAGAAAATGAACCCTTAATTTCTTGCAACAGATGTGGAAAAAATTCTAGTTAAATAAGAGTAGAAATGTAAATGTGGTTTTGCAAAGGGAAAATGCCAAGGGAATTATTTTAGCCAGCAAAACATTTGTTTTCAAGTAATCTCAATACTGGAGATGTCTCAATTCCTCTGTAGTGCTTTTCAAAAAAAAAAATAAAATAAAATGCTGTTAATAAATTATCACTTTGTGGCTTGGAGAGGAAGAAATGCTACCACCTTCATCTGGGAGGAGGCAGGCATAGGCTGAGGAAGATTTAATGGCTGTGGGTAACAGAAGAGTTACAGGAAAATGGTAATTTAACATCATGAATGCATTGAATTAGACAGCATTTTCTGAAAACTCACAACTAAAGAGATTTTTATGAGGGAAATTGAGAGGTTTGGGCTTTTTCTTTCCCCGTCGATAAAATTTAATGTATAACTGTTCTCTGTGATTGACATCACATTTTAGATGAGGGTTTTGTTTGGGGTTTTTTATGTACTCTAGAGAGTGACACTGAGTTATTTCATGGGATTAGTGATTTAAGTGATGTGAGCAGGTTGGTTGTCAAGATCAGCAGAAGCTAAAGCAGAGCAGCATTTTCTAACTGCAGAAATTTCAGATGATGTAGTCAGCCAAAGCAGCTTATTAAATGTATAATAAGCTCAGGAAACTCACAAAAGGAATCAAAATTCCCCTAACACAGGGAAGCAAAGTTCCCAAGTACTAGCATATTCCTGTAAGACTCTGAGGTGACAAGAGATTATTATAAAATATTTAGTGAACAAATTTCTAATTGAACACATGAGTAGAGAAAAAAAGGATTTAGGGCAGTGTGGTTTTCTAAGATGAATTTCAAAGTTTGGCTTAACCACACCAATCATTGGGGTACTGCCAACCTCCTGGTATTGGAATCAGACTCCTGTCTTTCACTGCAGACCGTGTTTTCCAGTCACTAAAATATCCTCATTTGAATCTGTACATTGCTTCTGGAGATATTTTTCAGGTTTTTGTTATCTCTTATACTCAAATCACCCCAACATCAAAATATTCCCACTTTAATCAGACTCTGCTTTGATTTGAGACATTATCCTCCTGACTTTTCCCTGCAGACCTTTCTCTCTGCATCTGCTCTCACAGAGAAATCTGACCCCCTCTGCCCCCAGCCTTCGCCTTTCATTCGATGAGTTGCTACCAGTTTGCAATGTAAAATAATGATGGTTTTGGCAATTCTTAAGGTGTGGAGTTCTTCAAAATACATATGCTCACCTGCACCATCTTCCAACAAATGCACCACTTCAGTAGAGTCAGACTTTGGCTGGGTGGTATTTACATGGTGTGTCCCCAGAAGAATACAAATCTTGATCTCAAGAAAGCTCTGTGTGCTGGTTAAATACAGGATGTGTGGGTGGGTGATAGAAATCTCAGCAGAGAGTGGAAGAAATTAAAAACAGCTGCAGCCAGGTGAGTGCTGTACCAAGGGCAGCTTCATCAAAGTTAGCAGCTGGAGGGGTTCTTGTCATCAGGCAAGAGACTCCTCGTTTCCATCAGGTTACTGACATCCCCTTGCTTCTCCAGCCCAGCTTTACTTCTGTTACTGAGTCCTGCTGCATTCTGATCATGCTTTACCATTATAAATTGAGTGTCACTCCTTCCTCCCAAACTCCTCATGCCTATTTGAGAGTACAGGGCAAGATTCTACAGAGGATGACGATGACATTTGGGTTATGACATCCTCTGGGTCAGTGAATCATAGACTCATTAAGGTTGGAAAGGATCTCCAAGACCATTAAGTTCAATCTTTGATGAAATACCACTTTTCCCACTAAAGCATACCACAAATTGCCATCTCTATTCATTTTTTGGACACTTGTAGGAATGGTGACTCCTCCATTTTCCTGGAGAGCTTGTTCCAATGCTTAATCAGTCTTTCAGTATAGAAATTTTTCCTAATATCCAGTCTGAACCTCCACTCCCAAATGATTTTGCCGAGTCTTCCGCCAGCACAGGGGTCAGAGTGCACACAATCAACACAATGTACCACCAGAGCTGTGGGAAAAGGCCCACAGGGCAGCACAGCACATGAGCAACAGGGGAAAATGTGAAGCATGAAACTTGCAGGTGTATTAGCAAAACTTTGGTCTCTGCTTCCACTCCATCCCTTGAATATCTTCAAAAATTCCACGCCTAATGAAATTCCAGAGCTGAAATTGATGAGGGTCTGCAAACAAAATGAAAATAGTACTTTAGCCCAGACTTCATAGCATTGTGCTTATTAGTCAGTTTTCTGATTTGGGGACATAGCTGCAGTCTCAGAGGGTGTTCGACCATTTTTCTCCAATAGCAAGGAAAAAGTTTTTCATTTCCTTTTGCAGAGAAACATATACAAGCTAGGCAAGAGAAAGGTGTCTGCTCATGTAAAATGTAGGAAGATATAATGGAAGTTTCACAATACGCTTTCCAAGTACCTTAATACATATCAGGCAGACTATTTCAGCTGCTGAATTCATTCCACATTTCCCTCCTTTCTGTTCAAAACTAGTGAAATATGGTTGTTTTATTTTTAAGGTGATGTCATTGATAGGCATGGCTTCAGTCATTCGTTTAGCAAAAAAAACTCTTTGTCCAGCCAAAGAGAATAATTTCATCTCTGTCCAGCTGTGGAATATCTTATTGATGCTGTTTGGCTGCAGCTGAAACTCAGGGCAGAGCGTGGCACTCATCTTTTACTTTCATCTTATTCCTTCCAACCTATAAACTTCAACAAATTATTTTAAATTAATCAATGCAAAGAGCTCATTCATTGGCAGAAAATGGAAGAAAATCCTGCTTTTGCACAGGAAACATTATTCCAGAAGGAAAGCAGTAAAAAGAGACCTTTACTATTCAATTATAGACCTGCTCACATGCCAACAAAGGTACTGCAAAATTCTGTCCTTGATTTCCATGGGAAAGGGGTGACTAAGTGCTTCAGGGTGTGAAATATAATATAAATATAATATAGATTGCTGTGTTGGGATCTTGAAGTCAAGCCAGATCAGGTCTTACTGCAGTGAAATAGAAATTTTGTCATAAAATACACACTACATTGTCTCCCTGTATTTATATGACATTTCAAAGAAATCTTACACATGCTGAATTGTAGTGATGGTGAATTTTCATTGCCTTGATCCAAATCCTCAGGTCAGCCAGCAAGAGCATCACAGGATGTCCTGGGGTGACTGTGATGTTAAGTTGTATCCCCATTCATCCACCTAGCCCAGAAATAGGTTTTGTATCCTTAAAACTTCGTCTAAGAGTAAAAGTGAGTGGAGAAGAAGCACCGAGTCTGTTATCAGACTGTACTTGCTCCCCTCGCATCGGGAGTTTTGACTACAGCACAGACAGACAAAGGACAGATCACCTTGGCTTTCCAGCTAGCCAGAGCAGAGAGGTCTTCCTGGACTGTTTTCTTTCCCTTTCCTTGGAACAATTTGAACCTGCTCTGGACTGGGGACTCGGGGGAGCACCGGGAGCTTGCACCCATGGACTACCGGGAGCCACAGGAAAGAGACCCTCTGAATTTGTCATCTCTTCAGAGCAGCGAGAGGTTTTGTAATCTGGTAGTGTTCACTGGTGCTGGGTAATGCTTTGCCTGTTAAATAAACAGGTTTTTTTCACTTCTCTCATAGAAATCTCTTCCTGAACAGGTTGGGGGGGGACATGTGTTTGCTTCCTGGAGGGGGCTCCATTGGAGGTTTTCCCCCAAATTTGCCCTAAACCAGGACACAGGAACAAGAGACAGGCTTTGGCTTGCTTCTCCAGAGGGTTTGTCTTTCCACAAACATTAGTGGACTACACACATGATTTTAAATAGAAAAAAAAAATCCTACATTTGGTCTAAGCTGAAAAGAAAGAAAAAAATATTTGGGTTAATAATTTTGGGCTCCTTCTCACTGCAAACTCTCTACTGAGGAAAAAGTGCATTCAAAAGGTAGCAAATTAGTTGGAATGGGTAGATTCTGACCTGATAAAATTGGCATGGCTATTTAGAGAGCAAGATTTCATTAGAGTTGCTATAGCAATTGGAACAGTTTGACAAAACCTAATGGATAATTATGACAGAAATAGAGACAGATATAAGCTGTCAAAAGTTATAGGAACAGAAGCTTCAGAAGTTAACAGTAGCCTGGAAGTAGCCTGATCTCCCTGGAAGACACCACACTCGTTTCAAACAGTTGTCCAGGGTATTCACTGAGCACTGACAGCAACAGAAAACCAAGTGCCCTCTCCACTGCTAAGTTCCTCATAGATTTTCTTCTCTGAGAGGCACACTTAGTTATTAAGTGCTTTATTATGTGAAAGTACTTGCCACTTTTGTGGCACCTCTCATCCCAGGGTACTGGGAAGCTCCTCCTGAATGCTGCACTAACCTTATCCAAGACATGCTAGATAGTCCTGTGGCTGAGTAAACTGAGCCAGAGACATGAAAGGACTTTAATTTCCAGGCACCAAGCAGGGAAGCATATGATCTGGCCAGAGTTCCCAGAGCCCAAACAAACCTCATGGCCCATGAGCAGGGGGGACCTGCAGAGCCTCCCCCACCTGAGGTGCCTCCATGGAAAGCACCTGCTGCAAAATATCTTCTGGGTTCAGCTGAGCTTTTCCTGCACTGTGCTGCCTCTCCAAGGTATAAAATCAAAGCTTGTGTCTGGGAGGGCTGTTCTCAAACTCTGCATGAGGTAAAAGGATTTTCAGGAGCTGCATGTATATATATAAATATATATAGATACACACACCTTTATTCCATTATATAATTCCCAGCACAACTTCTCTCACTGGGTTTTCCCTCAGGTCTGAGACTGAGAAAAAAATTGCCTTCAGGTCAGTAGCACAAATCTTAAACAATTCCCACCCAAAACAGCATGCACCCAGCAGGTCCATGCATCACAAGAGCAAAGAGGAAAGAGGGTTCCTGTCCCAGCCCCTTCTTTCTTTCACTCTGCCCTTATGGTCAGAGCTCTCATTTCCAAAGGTACCCTCAGACCTACAGACCTTTATCCAGCTCTTCTGGGGAGAACAGCACTGATACTGGGTTGTTGGATGTGTTGAATGGTGACACTTGGACTGACCTGCTCCGTTACTGGGACGAGTTTCATCATGGGATGAATCTTGAAATGCCAGATTTTCCTGCAACAGGAGCTGAAACCATTTTTTTTCTTTGTTAGAGATATCTGAATAGTGTTTTTACAGCATAAACAACAAAACCTGTTCTTTAAATAGTTTGACTGTTATTAATGGAGTTTAATGGAATATGATTTGATTCTGGGCTTTTTAAAGCTGCTAACCCCAGAAGAGTCACCAAAGCCTCCTAGGATTACCTAAGGATATTATAAATTATGACTTGAATTTAAAAGTAAATTTCTTCCCAATTTTGCCAGAACTGGGCAGTCAGATCCTGGACCAGCCAAGCCCCAGGGAGCCCTGGGGGACAGCCAGGACAAAGCAGTACAGCAGACAACATGTTAAGCTTCACTCTGCTATAGAAAATAGCAGATAAATCACTGTAGTGGTTTAGATTTCCCCAAATGTCAATCAGTGTGAAACCACCACAATCATATTTTATGTTTTCCAAAAATGTCTGCCTAGCAGCTCTATAAATTAATTTTCTCTGTTTGTTCAGATGTATCAGTCTGATGGAGAGTGCTTGAAACGTGCTTAAGCTTCAAAAAAATGTAATTTGACATTAACTTTGATACTGGAAGAAAAACTGCAAAATATTTTGCACATTGGAGGCCTTGATACGTTGAGACAGTGTTCTAATTGTGCCGTGGTGGCTCTAACTCACTCCTGAAAAATTATCTTCAGGCTGCTTCAGTCAGACAGACACAAAAGCAGAGTGTTGATTCTCTGGTGTTGGTGTGGAGGGCACAGAGAGCACTGTACACTTAACTATTAACTGATTCTTGTATTAAACCTCATTTCATCAGCGTTGCAGTTGATATCCCACTTGAACCAGAGCCATTAGCCAGGTGCTGTGTCAGTTCTGTACTGAAGTTTGTTAAGGGCCTGGAGTGACAGGGCAAGGGGCAATGGCTTCACAGTGACAGAGGGCACTGTTAGATTAGAGATTTGTAAGAAATCCTTCCCTGTGAGGGCAGTGAGGCCCTGGCACAGGGTGCCCAGAGAAGCTGTGACTGCCTGTGGATCCATGGAAGTGTCCAAGGCCAGGCTGGACATGGAGCAACCTGGTCTAGGGGAAGGTGTTTCTGCCCATGGTAGGGCATTGGAATTAGATAAATTTTAAGGTCCTTTCTATCCCAAACCATTCTCTGATTCTCAAGTCTTCAGTCTAAATTCTGCACACAGAATTTCCACTTAACATTTGGACTAAAGACTCAGCACTGATAGAGGGATTAGACATTTTACATGCCATGGTTCATATTCTAATATATTTGAGTTCAGAAAGTGATTTCCTTTGCACACTTTTGTGTTGCTGACTTTAAGTTTCAGTATAAGTTGCTCAGTACTTGCACAAAGAGGGGAAAAAGGGATTTCTCACCCAGTGTGAGCATATATTGTACTCTTGAGCAGGAAATGGAGAAGACACATTTTTGCATTATTCATTCAGTTTCAATAGTCACTGCAAGCACATGCAGGTGTGGGAGGGAGCTCCTATCACCTCTTTATCTGTGTGTCTTGCAACTGGTCCAGCATGGATCACCAGAGAATGCCACTTTGGAAATGACAACTGATAATTTCTGAGTTTCAACTCAAATCTGCTTTGTTCAAAAGGAAGGTGATAACCTTAAAAGAATCTAATAATTTCTACAGAAAGAGACTTAATTCATGCAAGAACATGAACAAACCCTAAAGATGAGAATATAAAATTATAGTGGTGTGCTTATGGAGAGAGTTGTAATGCTGATGATCTGCAACATTTTATACAGAGAGATTACAGTTTGGTTATTAATTATAATATCCTCCCTTTCTGAATTAAAATTTTTGCACAATTATTACCAAGAAAAGAGAAAGATAATAATCACAGCACCTTCCAAACACTTGTCTTCATTTTCCTCCCTGTGGTCACTTGCCTGGCTTTTCTCTCTGCTTCCCTAACATTTACTCCTACATTTTCCATTTCCTTAGGGTCACTGTGAAGTAGCTGGCTACAACATGTTTGGCACAGTTTCAAGGGTGACACCATTAGACTGACATTTTCTTAAAACTTATAAACAGCCTAAAAATAAGAAGTAGCAGCATTTGGGGAAGTTTTCAACATATGGCTCCATGAGCAAATCTTAAACATATGGCCCATCAAATCCATCCAAAATGTGTTGAAGTCCATCTAGTGATCCCCAGTCAGATATTACATAAGATGTCATAAGATGAAGGACATAGATGCCTTTTTCAGTCTTATGACTAGTCTATGGGTACTTCATCTGCAGAAAAAAGATTAGAATTCATCCTCACTTAAAGGGTACACATTCATTTATTGCCTGGAAATTTGTATAATAAGAAATACACCTTTGGGATTTCTCATCTTTGGTTCTTGTACAAAACAATATTGTTTTGATGTTAAAGGAACTATCAAAACATGTATTTAAAATACGTATTTAATGTAACTTCATGCAGGATATATAGATGAGCGGGTAAATCAATCCTCTCTGAAAAATGAAAGCAATAGTAGTTATTGTTGATTATATTATCCCAATGGGAGACAGAAATAAACCTGAACGCAGAAACTTAAATCGCAACTTGCAATTTACTAAAACAAAACAGAACCAGAAATAAATATCTTATCTTCTATTTCTGTGGAAATAACCAATGTAAAAATTGCAACGGTGACATTTCATAACTGTAAAGAAATAACTGAAGATAGTAGATCTTTTGTGATGCTAAAAATATTTTATATAAAGCTGGAACATATTTTTCCTCTAAGAACTAAAGGGCTTCCTGTTGTCTTAAGTATTAGAGTGAATCAAGGAAATTTTTTGTTTCAACAGTTGAACTAGTGGGTAGCTTATAAGAGCATAACCCTGCCTCTTCCCTGCACTTAAATAAAGATGTCCATCTTAACTTACACAACAGATACTCACCAAGAGAGCTGCAAGCAGCCAGGCTAGCAGTGTGTCCTGGTTTAGGGCAAATTTGGGAGAGAACTTCTGAAGGGGGTCCCTCCAGAAAACAAATTCAAGCTGTCCCTCCCCCAGCTGGTTTGGGAAAAAGATTTCCTTGGAGAAAAGTGGGGAAAAACTGTTTATTTAACAGAAATTGAATAATATTAAACAATAAAACCTCTCGCTGTTCCATGAGATGGCAAATCCAGAAAAAACTGAGATACGCTACTGGAAACCTGATTGTGCCCAGTAAAGACTCAGAAACTGGTTCCAAAATCAGACTGTGGGAAGAATGATTGGGGACTCACCCTCACTGGAGATATTGCAGAACCATCTGGCTGCAATCCTGTGCTGTGTGCCCGGGGAGGCCCTGCCTGAGCAGGGAGGTTGAACCAGATGATCCCCTGTGGTCCCTTCCAACCTGACCCACTCTGTGTTTCTGTGACTATGCCCCTCTGTGGTGGATAAAACTGGGTTCTCCTCCTGGACATCAGAAAGAATACTGGAGGGAGATAGAGGGCAGTGACTAGGAACAGGGGTTTAAAAGAAAAATAAGAAAAAGAGAGTAAAGAAGACATTTTTAAAAGGAAACATCACCATGTTGGAAGGAACCTAGTGCACCAGGGCTAGTAACCCCTTTGCAAGCATCTCCCTCTGCAAGCACCTCCTATATATCCACACCAGCCTTAGAAATGGAAGAAAATTTCTGCAAATAGCAATGCTATTTCTGCCAGGTTATCTTCCCCTGGGAAAACAGCTGGGGCTTGATATACTTCACTGAGCTTTTGCTTTGCAAGGTTCATTAACACTTACAGAGAGTGCATAAAAGTTTGTGTTTCACCTCTGACAACCTGCTCATGGGCATTGCTGGTCCCTGACAGGCTGGGAAGAGGAAAGAGCCAGGCTGGCAGCTGAAGACTCTTCAGTGCTCCCATGAAACAGGATGAACAGCACAGACAGACTGGGAGGCACACGTGAGCTCTCCAACACCACTCACCAAGGACAAAGTGAATCCAGAGATTGTCTGAAGACGAAGAGCAAAAGTGAAAGGTCAATTGGATAGTGAGATAAACATTAGGCAACATTCAAAATAAATGAGGAAAAAAGCACGAAAAGCAGCAGCACCTTTGAACAGATTGCCAGGGTAGAAGCAAGGTGTTGGGAGAAACAGCATAAGGAATTGTTGGTCAGAGCTGTGTGGTATTCCCTTTAGCAGCAACATTATTCAGGCCATACCTGAGCTCCAAGACCTTTGATTCATCTTCAGTTTTAAGCCATCTCTTGCAAATCACTTTGGCTGGACACCATGCCTCTGGCATAGCCAGGCATTCCCATTTGCTTTCTGCCTCTGGACACAGCCAAAGCTCCTCATTCAGGGATCAGCATCATCCCCAGAGGGCAGGTTTCACATGTGCCAGGCCCCTGTACCCACAGTTCAGTTCTGGGTCTTGCTCTGGGTCTTGCTCTGTGTCACTAAAGGGCCCTGCTGGCCCAGCCCTTTCCTCACACACAGAGGGATCTGACTGATCTCCATGTCCAGTGTGCTACACTTGTGAAAGAGATGAGACCTGTCCTATCCCTTGCCCTTTAATGCAATGAAATGCATTGTGCTCTCAGATTGAAGTCTGAGCCCTGGCTGAATTTAAACTTGTTATGTTTGTCTGTTTATTTAGCTTGTCATTCTCTTATCCACTTACCATCTTTTATCCTACCCACTGTGTGTGAGAGGGAGGCTTGGCTGAAGGGCATTTACACAGGATCTGTCAGGCATATTTGAGCCCAGCCCCTCAGTATGTCCCTGGCCAGCAGCTTTGGGAGTCTCTGCAACGTCCCCATCACAGCCCTGTGCAAAGGCAGGCACAGAGGAACTCCTCCCTCCATCCCAGCCACCGAGTCCCTGGCTTGTGTCAACATGCAATGGGAAGATTAATATACAGAGGAGACACTTACAAAAGTAATATGACAACTATCAAAGTCAGTGGTGCAGTTCTTTCCCAGCAGATCTCTCCACTCTGGAGAGACTGAGAAAGAAAAGCAGAGGATGTGACCCTTAGTAGAAGAAATTCTTTTAGAAAGTCAGGTT